TGACTCAATGAATAGTCAGACAATGATAGCTGTATTCTAATATTAATCATACAATTTCAAAAGAAATTTACGTTTTTTAAGTAGAACAGATCAATGTATGGTCAGACAACTAGTAATATAATGGTAATAATAAACAATAATATGTAAATATGTCACGGTAAATCGTTAGGTGTTAAAATAACACCAAAATGGATTAAAATAACACTAAATTGGATTATTTTAATCCTTTTTGGTGTTATTTTAATACCTAACGATTTACCGTGATATGAAAAAAATAAAAATTTATGAAAACCATAAAAACAATTTTAAGTAGTATAGGTCAATGTATATTTTACCATTTATTAACGAGTAATTATTCAAGTCTTAATATTATGAATAAATTCCTAAAGAAAATGATATATTTTAAGTATAGAGTAGATTAATGGACATTCAGACAAGTAAACGAATGGTCCAAAAATTGACTTAATAGAAGTTTTGAGCTCAAAAATAGGATAACTTTAAATAATTTTGGTTTTAAGAAGTAAACGTTTTTAGAACTTGTTTACTTTTCTCTGTTTTATATAAACTTTAAAGTAGTAGAAATCAAGAGTGACAACAATTAATTCAGATTATTTCCATTGTGACTTCAATTAATTCAGATTCACTTCAAACAATTATTTCTGCTTTGTAGTAAATAATATAACTAACATTAGTTAACGATATTTGTGTTTAAGTAAAATGATGATCATTATGCGATCAGGCATCTAATTATTAATGAAAACAATCGTAATTATACGATTTCAAGTAGTATAGGTCAATGAATAGACCGATAATTATACAAGCACGTTAACAATAATTAATTCCAGAAGCAGATTCTACTTTCAAGTAATAGAGATCAATGTATAGTCAGACAATTAGTAAAGTAAGGTAATAATGCAAACAAATTCCAAAATTAACGTCTGATATTATAAGTGGTATAAGTCTGTGTAAAGTGGAACAATGAGAGAAGCAAGTTAACAATGAACAATTTCTAAAGTAAATTTCTGTTTTCACTAGTGCGAGTCGATGCATATAGTCTGACAAATATACAAGTAGATTAATAGTAAACAATTTCAAAGTAAACTTTCTTTTTGAAGTAGTAGAGGTCAAAGAATTCTTGAAACTTAAGTAGTGGAGGTCAGTATTTAATCAGATTTTGAATTATTTAAGAAAATAATATTTTTTATGTAGGAAACCAATATTTAAAAAAATAAAAAATATTTAAAGTAATATTGGCTTATTATTACTTTTTTAAGTAGTAGATGTGAAGTAATATTCAAACTTAAGTAGTAGTGGTCAAGGAATATTTAAATTTAAGTAGTAGTGGTCAGTAATTAATCAGACATTGAATTATTAAAGAAAATAATTGTTTTTTCTATTTTAAGAACAGTAAAACGTGAAGTTTTCAAATAACACCAGAATGGATTAAAATAATCTGCAACAGTTTAATCCCTCTAGGTTTAAATTAACACCAGAAAGGATTAAAATAATCTATTTTGGTGTTATTTTTAAAAATAAGTGAAATTTTACTTTAAACAAAACACCAAAGTCAACGATTTGTAAAAATTCAACGAATTTAGCTTCTCCAGGGAGAATAGTAAGATAGTAAGTTAGTTACTAACTTACTAACTAATTTAGTAACATAGTTACTAAATTCAATTGTGTTCAAAAATTTTACTAAATTGTCGTCAAAATTACAATTCTTTATATAAATAATAAAATTCTTTTCTGATATTCAATTATTTTACAAAATTTTAATCAAATTCTTGTCAAAATTTCAAATTATTTTCAAAACTTTTCTAAAATTCAATAATTTTCAATATCTACTATTTCAATAAAATTTTCCAAAAGAATTCCACTATTAAAAAAAATTTGAATAAAATTCTACGCAAACATTCAATTATTTTCATAAATAATAAAAAATTTTACAGGAATTCAATTATTTACAATTTTTTTTTATAAATTTCTTCGCAATAATTCAATAATTTTCATAAATAATAACATTTTTACAGTGATTCAATTATTTTTATAAATAATAAAATTCTTTTAGGAATTCAATTATTTTCATAAATAATAAAACTCATTGCAGAATTTTTAATTATTTTTAATGCAATTTTAATCGAATTCATCGAAAAATGTAATTATTCTTAAAATTTTTATTAAAATTCGTCCAAAGAATTTAATGATTTAAAAAATTTGTTGATAACATTTTTTATGAGAATTTACTTTCAAGAAACATTATATTAATAAATAATTTATGTTTGTATTTAAATAATTGAATTCTCGTAGAATTTACTAATAAAAATGGTTTTAAAAATGAATTTCAGTTAAAATTTTAGATTATAATTAAATATTAAAAGCATTATAACGTGGATTTTTAGAAATAATTAAATTTTGAAAAAGTTTCAAACTAAAATCCTTGAAATTCTTAATGTTTCATATTTTTGACAAAAAATTCTGTAGAATTAATTCTTTTTGAAAGTTTAGTAGGATTTTTATTGAAATTATTTCAAGTTTTTATTTTTTAATATTATATTTAATTGCAGAATTTCCGAATAATTTAAATTTTGAAAAATTGAATTGTAAACGAATGAATTTGAAAATTCTCATAAAACTCATCGCAGCATTTTAATTATTTTTCATACAATTATAATTGAATTCCTTGAAAAAAGTAATTATGTTCATGCAAGTTTTAATAAAATTCGACAAGAGAATTTAATTATTTACAAATTGGTTAATAAAATTCTTTATGAGAATTGAATTTTGAGAAACATTTAAATATTTAATAAATTATTTACTTTTGCATTTAAATAATTAAATTCTTGTAGAATTTTTTAATAAAAATTGATTTAAAAACGAATTTTAGTTTAAATTTTAGATTATAATTGAATATTAAAAGTAATATAGCGTGAATTTTTAAAAATAATTAAATTTTGAAATTAATTTTTTTGAAAAAGTTGAATTGATTTTTCTTTTATATTATTTGAAGTTTTTATTTTCTAATATGCATTTAATTGAAGAATTTAGGAATAATTGAAATTTCGTGAAATTGAATATTGTAAACAAATGGATTTGAAAATTGCCAAAGAACTTTTTCGAAAATTATTAAAAATAATAGATATAAAGTAAAATTGTAGTTAAAAATTTTTGAAAATAACAATTGAATTGAAATAATGAAAATAGTTTTGAAGAAGTATAATATTCTTATAATATAAGAATTTTTAATTTAATTTAAAAAAAAAAATTTAATTTTTTTTTTAATTTAATTTTTTTTTTTTTTTATAAGAATTTTTTTCTTATAAAATAATGATTTTATTACTTGGTCATCTTTAATTATTATAAAATATGAAGAAATCGATCACTCCGAGTCGAAGACTCGGAGTTATCGATATCTTCATGTTTTATAGTTATTAAAAAATTTAATGAACTAAAATTTAATTCATTGTAAAAAATAACACCAAAATTGATTATTTTAATGTTTTTTGGTGTTTATTTAATCTGTAACACTTTTTAATACCTCACGATTTACTGTGAGTAGTATTGGTTTATTATTACTTAAACAGACATTGAATTACTAAAGAAAATTCACGTGTTTTCGATTTTAAGTAGTATTGGTTTATTATTACTTTTTTAAGTAGTAGAGGTCAAAGAATATTTTAATTTAAGTAGTAGAGGTCAGTATTTAATCAGACATTGAATTATTAAAGAAAATTATCGTATTTTCTATTTTAACTAGTATTGATTTATTATTACTTTTTTTAACTAGTACAGGTCAAAGATTTTTGTTTGCTTATTTTATTAATTATAAATATACTCATTATTTATTTATTATTTTTATATAATAAATTTTTTTATTATTTTTTTATTATTATTTATTTATTATTTTAATATTTTTTACTATTACAAATTTTACTTTTGTAAATAATAAAAAGAAAAAATATTTTTTCATTTGTGAAATGAAACTATATAGAATCCACTTTGTGTGGATTAAAAATTAATACTATTACTTCCGAAGTATTGATATAAACGCTGTAGCGTTAATTACAGTTTAAGTAGTACAACTCAACAAATAGTTTGACATCGATACAGTCATGAAAATTATTAGATTATTGTATACACAACTAATCGTGTATATAGTATTAATTAAAGTTAATGGACATTTGTCTCTAAAATGATCAATTATTATTAGACACGTTAAATTGAAGTAGTGCAAGTCAATATAAAGTTTAATCCGACATTTAATCGCTTGACAAATAAACTTCCAGTAATATTGTAATTCTCAAACAATCGTTAATATGTTTATTTGAAATTAATGAATTTTATCGTGTCAATTTTAATAAAATTCTGAAACAGGTCAACGTCTAGTCAGACATAATTACTTTTACCAATAAATTGTTCGATAACAATTCATCAGTTTTGCAATTTGTTTTATTTAATGCACTCTCTCTCTCTCTCTCCCTTCTCTCTTTTTCCTCTCTCTCTCTTCTCTTTCCCTTTTTCTTCCTAATGTGACAAATTTCAGTTAAAATTCAATAATTTATCGAAGATATAATTTTTAACAGTAAATTGTCACATTTAATTAAATGTCGTGGTAGGAAAGATTTTTATTATTAATATTATTATCATTTTAAATATTGACTTGAAAATATTATTCCTGATTGTGGAAATTGAAATTTAATTCTTCGAATTATCGAGAAAATAAATAATTTTATTTTTTTGCTGTTTTAACAAAACATATTGTATAATTACTATTAAATAAAAATTTCAATAAATAATTTAAATAAAAAGAATTAAAAATAAAGATTATTTCTTTACGGTTGTATTAAATTTCCTTTCTTCACTAAAAATGTTAATTTACTAAAAAATTGAATTAAAAATTAAAAATCATAGAAAGTAGGAAAAAAGAAATTGAAGATAGAAGTTTTATTAAATTCTACTTAATTAATATTCTTAATTAATTATTAGTTAATTAAATGACTTACCTAATGAATGCGTATCCTTTGTCCTTGAAAACACGGATTTCTTGAATGGTGCCAAATGGCGAGAATGTTTTCGTCATAAGCTCCTCTGTTAGACCATTGGTCAAACCCCCACAATAAACGGTACAGTTGGTCGGACTGCTTTGATTGTAGACCTCGTCGAAAGTCAACGGTTTTGCGTTCGCTGAAAATCAACAAATAATTTTAATTATAATCATAATTTTCGCTATTTTCACATTTTTATTTATTATCATAATCGCAAAATAACGAATCGCAAGAATGATGATAATTAATTTTAAAAGAAATATTTCTTTCAGTTTTTAAATTTTTACTGCGAATACAATTTTTTATACTTATTATATTATTAAATTATTAATATTATTTTAACTTTTAATTTATTATTATTATTATTATTATTATTATTATTATTATTATTATTATTATTATTATTATTATTATTATTATTATTATTATTATTATTATTATCCTATTGCTAATAATAATATTATCTTTACAACGTAGACAAATATTTTTAAAAATTCAAAATAATTCATCCATTTTTCAAAAGCAGAAAAAATAATTCTTCAAAAAATTCTCGTGCATAATTATAATATATTAATATTTTTTTTTTAAATCGAATATTTACTAAAACAAGAAATTTTAAAAATTCTGGACATGCAAAATTTATTTTTAAATAATTCGAAGAAAAGAAATATTTTATTGAGGTGTGATATAAATTTCAATAAAAAAGACTTGAAGAGTTATCAGTGATAAAAAAAAATATCGAGAGTAGAAAAGTCGATTTTAAAGCTTTTTTTTGAAGGCGATAGGCCTGGTGGGAGAGAGAAGGGAGGGGGGGCAGCTGATTAAAAGAAGATTGTAACTGAATGCTTTCACACATTCATATCTGTCAGTTATTGCAATCATAATGGCCATTTTCGTTTGACGTCAATCACATTTTCGCTGAACGTGCTTTCAACGTGTCGAATAGATTGAAGATAAAAATTTGATGAATATTGTAAAACGACGATTTCAGGAAAAACCTTTTTTTTATCCGCACATTTTTTTTCTGTTTTTTTTTGTTGTTGTTTGCTCTTTCTTCTATTTCGCCAATTGCGGTTTATGTTTGACGTGTAAATAAATATATAACGATTAATTCAATTGTCGTGAACGGAATCAAATTTTTCAATTAGATATCGATTTTTTTTCTCTATTTTATTGAAAATGTTTTCTTTTATAAATAATGAAAATCTAGTAAAAAATAAAATTTTCAATAATTTTCTTTTTTGTATTTTGCTTCCTCATAAAGGAAGCTTTGTATTTTTATTCTTTTTTATTAATTAATTCTTTTTATTTTTTTAACGCTTTATTCGCTTCGTAGAAAATAAAAATCAGTTATTTCTCGACTTCTAGAAAAAATTAGTAGTAAATAAAAAAATAAATAAAAACAAAGAATCTTTAGAAATCTTTTAAAAATTAAAAATAAAAGAAATAAAAGTATTATTATTAGTAATTTGTGATAAGAAATTGATTATTGTATAGCTGATAAATTTCCACCTTCAAAAATTTTACAATTTGAATGGAAAAAAATAAAACCTTATAATAATAAAATAAACATTTTCACTGGCAGGGGAAAATTGAAGGAAACAAATTTCGTAATTGAATCAATTTGATAAATTTCCTTCAAAGCAGTTTTCACATAAATAAAATAAATATTTTGCGTGCATAGAAAAAATTGGAATGAAAACAAAAAAATTCTTTTTTTTCCGAATAAAAATATTTTTGAAAATTCCCGATAAAAATTCCATAACGTCTTTTAAAGGGGATGGAAAAAAAAATGAAATTCAGAAAATATATATTGCTCGTAAATTGAGGAATTTCTGCGAAAGTAGATGCAAAAATATTTTTCATGTGTATATGTATATATATAAGTGAGTAAATAGATTTTTGTAATCATAAGAGGGTTCCCCCTCTCCTCACCCCTTCCCTCTTATATATATATCTCCTTCATTTCCTTCGAGTTTTTGAAAATGAGGTTAAAGCTGGTTTTCAAGAGAAGATATCAGATTGCCAAGCGAGAAAGAGAGAAGGAGATGGAGAAGAAGCTCTCACGATATCGGACACACAAATGTCGAAGAGGTTTTTTGGTACCCATGAGCGTCGAGTTTACGATCCTACGGGGCTTATACTCTAAAGTAGTAGACTTTGGGTGTAAACGCGACTGGTAAAATCGCTCCTCATCCTCTATACTCTCATCCTGCTCACACGACTTTCTCTCGCTTGCACACTCTGAAAACTTTAACTTTCACCCGCACTCCTTTTTGTGTTCGCTATTCTCCATCGCCTCGTGTAATTGCGTCGCATGGGGGGGGATGAAAAGTCGTTGTGGAAAACTGTCCGCGAGACGACGCCCCATAAACTTACCTCAGGGAAAGAGGAAATTTCCTTTCTTTCAAAAGCTTTTCCGAAAAACATTCAACCTCAAGTAATGACAACCATTCTCTCTCTTTCTCTCTCTATTCTCTCGAACGCGCAATTACTTTTATATCTTTCTTTCGCTCGTGAAAAATTAATCTTCCTTTTTTCAAATTAGATTTTGTTTATTGTTGCTATATCATATCGTTGAGGAATTAATCATAGTTTGTGAATTTTTTTTTATTTTCGAGGGAAATTTTATAAGTTTCTTTTGTTTTAATATTTTTTTCATTTTTCCAAACGATATTTTTTGTGTATTTTTTTTATTGTTGTATAATGAGCAATGTCTGACTAAAATGGTATTTTTCTACTTAAATTGAATTTAACTATCAAAGAACCAAACTCTGTTAGAGGTTTTCGTGTCTGACTAAATTTAATTTTTCTACTTAAATGAGAAAAATACAATATTAGCAATGTCCGATTAAATGAAATAAATTTTGTATTTTATATATTTTTTTTATTGTCACTCAAATATTAGTATCCTGATTAAAATATGATTTTTCTACTTTGTAAAATTGAACTGAACTATCAAAAAACGACACTTTGTTAGAGGCCTTCAAGTCTGACTAAATTAAAATTTTCTACTTAAATTACTAAGTTGAGACCTATCTGTCTGAATAAACCGAAATTAACTACTAAAATTTGGAAAATAATTGTTTTTTCCAAATTTAAGCAGTAAATTTAATTTTAATTTTTAATTGCTACTTTTAATTTTTTTTAAAATTTATTTATTAATCCCTTTCATGTTTGTTACAATAAAAAATCCAATTAGCAATGTCTGACCAAATCGGATTTTTCTACTTCAGCAATTTTTTACTTCATTGTCGTCTAAGAATATTAGGTTTAAAACATTTCTTGTTTTCAAAGTTTTAAAGTTTAAATGTCTGATCAATTAGAACTGTTCTACTTGAAAGAAAAATTTAGTTAATTGTCTGTGTCAAAAAATATGGTTTTTCTACTTAATTAAAATTTTTTTTAACTTAAATTTATATAAATTATTTTTAGTCTGACCAATTTCAGATTTTAATACAGGTACTTTGTCAACGGAAGTCGAACTGTCTGACGAAAAATCGCCTATTTCTACTAATGATATGAAATAAAATATTGTTATTAAAATGTCTGACTAAATTTGATTTTACTACTGAGGCACAAAATAATTAATTAACTACATATAATAATTTGAATGTTCTTTCATTAATTTACTTTTTCTGTCCTTCACACTTTGAAGTTTATACTCTTTTGTTTATACTTTTGTTTTTTGTAAACTTTAGATAGATTGTATTATATATTATTATGTTTTATTTATTTTTATTTTATAATTAATTCAAAATTGTAATGACAAAAAGAAATCATTAGAATTTTTTTCACTTATTTTCATTAAAAGACTAAAATTTTGTCAAATATTATATGTTTTGTCAAATTGAAATTATGCAGATTTTTGTTCTTTACTTCTAAACAAAATCAAAAAATTGTTAAACAACTGTGATTAAGGAATAAAAAATTTATTTATTTTGCATTCTTTTTGTTTATGAATTACAATTTTTTTAACAAAATTATTATTTTGTTTTAGAAAAAGAAGAAAAATATTTGCACAATTTCTAATTTTAATCTTATTTTTGGAACAGGATTTTCCACAGGAAAATTAATTAGTTAATTCAAAAATTTCAAATTCAAACCTTTTTTAAATTAAACAAGTTATAAAAGTATTGTTATAAAACATGAAGATATCGAGTGCTCCGAGTCGAAGACTCGGAGTTATTGATTTTTTCATGTTTTCTAATAATTAAAGATGACCGAGAGATAAAATCATTATTTTATATTTAAAGAATATTGTTATTGTAACTTCATCAACATTTTTTTTATCATTTTAATTTGATTATTATTTTCTAGAATTTTAAATTATTTTTTATGAAAATAATTGAATTTCTTAAAAAAATTTTATTATTCATAAAAGTAATTGAATTCCTGTGAAATTTTTATTATTTATAAAAATAATTAAATGTTTGCATACAATTTTATTAACATTTTTTTAAATAATTGAATTATTTTTGGTAAATTTTATTAAAATAGTAGATATTGAAAATAATTGAAATTAGGAAAATTTTTGAAAATAATTGAAATTAGGACTAGAATTTTTTTGACATTTATGAAAATAATTGAACTTTGGTAAAGAATTTTGTTATTTATAAAGATAACTGGGATTTTTACGAGAATTTTTCTCCAATTTTGAACATAGTTGAATTTTATAAGAAGAATTTTATTTATTTATTTATTTTTTTTAAATAATTGAATTTCTGCAATTATTTGTAATTTCTCCAAAATTGAATTTTTTGAGTGTTTTCAACAAAAATTTGAAATAAAAAATTTGAAATTCTATTATTTTTAAAACTTCTAATTTTATTTAAAAAAAGTAAGTAAGATGTAAACCGATTTTTTGAACTTGTTAATAGTTATTTTATTTTCAACTAAATTAAATAAATAAAATCTCAAAAAATAGTGTAAATTTATAAATAAAAACTGAAATGATAATAAAAATTGAAAAATTGGGGAAAAAATTTTCCGATTATTATGAATATTTAAAATTTAAATACTGTCAATAAATAATCGTTTTATTCGATTTCCGTTGTGAATGAAATACATTATTTTTTCTAGTTACATCACTTTCTCATTAAATTTTTACTTTAAATTTTAAAATAATAAAAAAAGTGA